GCGGAACTGCACGGTGGATGCAGCGTTGAGACGCTGTGCACGCGCCGTCACAGCGCCGGCGCCGCGCAGCTTTAGCGCACCGGAGTTGGCGGAGCGTGCAGCCAGAACGCCAGCGCTGCTGCTGAGCGACGTGAGGGAGCGGCGTGCGGCGCCGTTGGCACGCGCGGCGGCGCGAAGCAAGACGCGTCCGGAGCCGTGCATTGTGTGATCTGAGCCTCTAGATGCTTATTGGAGTGTGGAGGGTGATGGAATGGAGGGGGTGTTATGTTGTGCACACCATTTTGAATAATCTTGCGGTTTGTATGGTTTTGGCAGATTGTTGCGGTGGTGTTGGTAAACCCTAGATTGGATGAACGCCACAGCATCTTGTTATGACTTGGCCTGAGTATGTCGGAACTACAAGTACGATGCCTTGAACAGCTGGGTCGCGCGTTTTAACATGTGCATGACGCGTCTCACGTGGAGGAGAAACTTCAGCTTGTGTTTACAGGCTCTGGGCATTCTCAGTTTTGCCCAGAACCCGGCATTATTGAACTACTACGTAAAATAACTTCATGCCACTGCAACAATGAAGTGAATTGGTGTTACGGAAAGAGACTGTGTACTGGTGCATTACATAGTTGTTGTGCGCAAGCAACGAACGCGCACACCATCCAACGAGCGCTTGAGCTTTTTTAAAAAATATTTTTTTAAGTCATTTAAAACTGACTTATACGCACAAACTATCGTTGCAATGTATAGAGGACATTCTGAATTTAGTCCGTAATGGTGGTCGGCATTGGTTGATACATGTGTAGTCTTTCATTGAGGACTTTTGTCCGTTTCCCCCTATTAGCTTATTAGAGGGACCAGGAGGCAAGTCAAAGAGGGATAGTGAGAGACACGTAAGTATAAATGAATGTATCCATATTACCATAGACAATCTAGTCTTTTTAACTAATATCAAGTGTCGACACTTATCGGAACAGATTCGGGTGTTGAATTTCTTCTAGGGAGAAATCGGTTAGGGATTGACGATATCCATCACCGCTTCCATCCGATGATGAAAGAATCTACCGAGGTAGTGTTGGGGAAAGATGTAGCCAGGACCCCACGAAAGCTCTGCAGAGTCTGAAATCGCCCGTTCACATGCTTCCTTCTTCTTCAAAGTTGTTTCCTGTCGCTGCACTTGTCCAGGTCCTTCGCATGAACATTATTCTCAACGAGTCTCTGTCGTAGACTGTGTTGGTCGCTTTCAATCTGTGTCTTTTTGAGGTGCTTCACCCTGCTGCCTTCAGTCTAGGCTCGTATTTTTTTAATGACTGCGTATATTTGCTGTGAGTATTGTATGTACAAAAAGCAGGTGCGAAGTACGGCGAGTTCTGAATTCCTGCATTATTTTGAGAGTAAAAAAGTACAAACAGTGCGAACTTAACGACTGTGAAGGAAAAGTGAGTGTAAGGCAGCTTCGAGACCTCTCTAATATCGTTTTCTTTCCCATCACTGGCATTATTTTTGCTGACAAATCGTATTTTCATTTTTAAATTAGAATACGATAGTACTCTAAACGCCAAGTTGTTGTCATCGGCAGTGTGCATATACCTTTGTCGCACAGTGTATCCAAATTGCTTGGTGTCACTTGTACTCACGGCGACGAAGGCCCG